AGAAGAGAGAAGAGAGAAGAGAGGAGAAAATGAGATTAATATATAAAGAAGAGATCACCACTCGAGATGCACAGGGTAATTTCCATCAAGACAAGCCGTGCAGTATCCAGACATATCCTTGTCTTTAGGAGCACCTGCACTCACTGCCTTCACGAGGCCCTCTATGCTCAGGTATGCCAGACTGTCAGCACCTGAGAGAGAGAGAAAATTGTATTATTACTCATTAAAAAAAGGTACCAGTTCTATATTCATGGATGTGATCGCTGGTATAAATATAATAGTTTTCTTCATGATGTTAAATTTGACAACGTATTATACCTCGTAGAAATAAATTTTGTATTGCAATAGATTTTCTCTTAAATATCTATATATATTCACAATTTCCAAGACCAAGAATTTTCCAATTATACAAAGGATATACCAAGTAGTCACCAATACATACATTTCTTTTGACCATTTCCTATTCCGAGACTTAATAAGGAGATAAAATAGAATAAATATATATTTTTCAATTTCCTATTCTCAGACAATAAAGACGATAAAATATAAATGAAATAAAACAAAACTTATTTCCTATCCTTACATTTAATAATACGACAAAATAAAATTTTAAAAATCGTAATTCCTATCCTCAGACTTGACAAGATGATAAAATAAGATAAAAAAATCTAATTTCCTATTCTTAAGACAAAATGATAAAAGAAACAAAAATTCATATTTCCTATCCTTAACACCCCATAAACTGAAAGACTTCACAAGACGATAAAACAAAATAAAAATCCTTACTTCCCATTCATAAGTCCCCAACAAACTGCAAGACAAACAATACAATAAAACAAAATACATCTTTTTTTTATTTCCCACTTCCCCAAGACTCCACAAGTTGCTACAGTACGCTGAACTCACCTATAAAACCAGCCAGTTCTTCGGGAGCTTTCGTGTTGGCAATGAGTTCCCCTTTAGTCGGGATGTTGATGCCCATGTAACACGGGTGCTGAATGGGCGGGGAAGCAATGCGGATGTGGACCTGGGGATTGAACGTTCATATTTTTGGAGTAAATCAATAAATAAACCTCTAGAGTAAATCAATAAACCTCTAGAGTAATAAATAAATAACCTCTAGAGTCAAAATAAATAAACCTCTACAGTCAATATAAATAAAGAGTAAATAAATAAATAAACCTCTAGAGTAAATAAATAATAAACCTCTAGATCAAATAAATAAATAAACCTCTAGAGTAAATAAATAAATAAACCTCTAGAGTAAATAAATAAAATAAACCTCTAGAGTAAATAAATAAATAAAAGTAAATAAATAAACCTCTAGAGTCAATAAATAAATAAACCTCTAGAGTCAATAAATAAATAAACCTCTAGAGTAAATAAATAAATAAACCTCTAGAGTAAATAAATAAATAAAAGAGTAAATAAATAAATAAACCTCTAGAGTAAATAAATAAATAAACCTCTAGAGTAAATCAATAAATAAACCTCTAGAGTAAATCAATAAACCTCTAGAGTAAATCAATAAATAAACCTCTAGAGTAAATAAATAAATAAACCTCTAGAGTAAATAAATAAATAAACCTCAAGTACGTTATAGTAAATAGATAAATAAACCTTAAGTACGTTTTTTATGCATGGTCTTTAAGCAGGAAAGTGTGAACGAAATGTTGCTGAGGATTGAACATTCATATTTTTAGAGTAAATAAATAAATAAAACCTCAAGTACGTTTTTAATTCATGATTCAATTTTCGAATGAGAGCCATGGACCCCCTTCCCCAGAAGTATTCACAAACACAACTTTAAATGCTATGTGTAAAATGCAACTTCTTTTTTGAGATTTGATTGTCTCATACATATCTGAGATACACAAAGTACTATCAAACTTTAAGTAAACAATCAATATCAATTATGCAAAAAGTAATGTTTACATCTTACACCCCTGAAACCCACCCATGGACCCTACGTTAATTAAGAACCCCTATTTTACATAATTCTAAACAATACTACAGTTCAACAAACCCATCCAGACCTACCTCCTTAGCCCCATACTGTTTCAGGAGTCGAACCAGCGGCCCAATGGTCGTGCCTCTAACAATCGAGTCATCCACTAGCACCACCCTTCGCCCTTCCAAGTTAGCTGTGATGGCCCCAAACTTCTTCGCTACTGCAAGTTGCCTGGAACGGGTGTCTGGCTGGATGAAGCTGCGCCCCACATACCTGTTTCTGCACAGGACTTCCACATAGGGAATGCCAGACTGTTGGAAAGAAATGACCATTAATATTAACTCGTCTTTTGGGGGCATTTGAGGAGGGGCATACTGAGGACTGTTGTTAGAGTACAATGGTTTTGGGGTATTAAAAAGCTTATCTGTTATTAGTAGTTATTACACAATGCTATCAATAAAAATATATATTCCTAATCTAAAACGACAGTTATAACAATTTTTGGTGTTTTTTAAAGCTAATGAATGACCACAATCCAAAAACAATGGCTGCATTCTCAAAAGAAAATGAGGTAAGTACAAAATCATATGGTCTTGCCTGTAATGCATATCCCATAGCAGCCGGAGTAGCGGATTCCGGCACAGTGGAAATAATATCAGCATCAACGGAAGTCTCAATGGCAAGCTGGCGACCACAACGCTGCCGAACGGTGTAGACTTGCTGTCCTGAGAGAAAGCCAGAGGAAACAGGTCTTACGGAATGTTATAATCAGAGATGGAGAAGTTCAGGTGCTGGTACGGAGAGTGAGAGACAGAGAGGGAATGGGGAGGAGAGACAGAGAGGGAGAGAGGGTGTGAAGAAAGAGGGAGAGAGGGAATGGGATAGCGATGAGGAAAGGAGAGAAGGAGAGAAAGAGAGAGAAGAGAGTGAGGGAGGGGAGAGAGAGGGAGAGAGGAGAGAGAGAGAGAGAGAGAGAGAGAGAGAGGAGAGAGAGAGAGAGAGAGAGAGAGAGAGAGAGAGAGAGAGAGAGAGAGAGAGAGAGAGAGAGAGAGAGAGAGAGAGAGAGAGAGAGAGAGAGAGAGAGAGAGAGAGAGAGAGAGAGAGAGAGAGAGAGAGAGAGAGAGAGAGACCCTTATTAGATTTGACAAAGGGCAAACGTTACAATAGAGTACAGTTCCCCTATAAATACACGTAAGATGAATGCCCTTAAGCTCTGTAGTAACGTACAGTCAAGGCAAAACTCGTATCAAACATGTTTCGACTTGTGTCTCCATCCCCAAAATGATGTGACCATTGTCATTTGTCCGTGAAATACAAGCAATCTCTCTCTCTCTCTCTCTCTCTCTCTCTCTCTCTCTCTCTCTCTCTCTCTCTCTCTCTCTTCTCCTTCACTTTACTTACTCAGTCACTCCACTCTCACTCACTCTCTCTCTCTCTTTTCTGCAACATTCTGATAAAAAAATACGTACGTAGCCCTTTCCACAATACAAATCCTTCCTGGAACAACCAAAACCCAAAACCAAGCTATACGCACGCATCCCCTCCACCCCCAAAAAAACAACACCCCCCACAATAAATGCATAAATTACCTAAACCCACAATCAACACACGACGATCAAAACAACCAAAACAATCCACCCTTACCCTCGTAGAAGGTATCAGACCGCGAGAAGTAGACATATTCGAAGATGCAGAAAGCCGGAGGAGGAATCTGCAGCATGTGAGGAATGACGGTCTGGTCGTATCCCACGCGGATCGGCTTCGCAGGCTTCGGACGCGGGACGATATCCAGGGACCGAATCCCGTCGGGACTCAGCTCGATGATCTCCCCGGGGAAGACCTAAGGTGATTAAGGGTGAAATCCTGAGTAAATAGGGAGGATGGACAGACCTAAGGAGAACAAAGGGTGAAATAAAGGGTGAAGTCTTGAGTAAATGGGGAGGGAAAGACCTGCGGGTGATTAAGGGTGAAATATGAGTAAAGGAGGACAGAAAGACCAAGGAGGATGGAAAGACCTAAGGAGAATAAAGGGTGAAATATGATTAAAAGGAGGATGGAAAGACCTAAGGAGAATTAAGGTGATTAATGTGGGTGATTAAGGGTGAAATCCTGAGTAATTGGGGAGGGAAAGACCTGTGGAGAATTAAGGGTGAAGTCTTGGGTAAATGGGGAGGGAAAGACCTGTGGGTGATTAAGGGTGAAATATGAGTAAAAGGGATTGGTTTTATATTAATTGTAAGAAGGAGGGATGGGTGAAATCGGAGAAAAGGGATTGGTTTTATATTAATTGTAGGAAGGGAGGGATTAAGGGAAAAATTAGGGGAAAATCGGAGAAAAAGGGAGTGGATTTTTATTAATTGTAGGAAGGAATTGATTGTAGGGGAAAAATATCCGAGAAAAATTAATGTGAATCAAGTGCGTATATCTTATAACTATTTAATCATCGTTCTACATCTCTCAATACCAGTAAATATTTTAGGCTTATTATCTAAAAAGGCGAATTCGAAAATGCAACAAAAATAACGGAATTCCACACACACTTCCCGTATAAGTGAACCAAATCCCTATATCAACAATTCAATCCCCATTCCATACCTCTCAATATCAGTTAATATTTCAAGCACACTATCCAAAAAAATTCGAAAATGCAACAAAAATAACGGAATTCCACACATACTTCCCGTATAAGTGAACCAAATCCCTATATCAACAATTCAATCCCCATTCTATGCCTCTCAATATCAATTAATATTTCAACCAATCAAAAAAATAGCGAATTCGAAAATGCAACAAAAATAACGGAATTCCACACATACTTCCCGTATAAGTGAACCAAATCCCTATATCAACAATTCAATCCCCATTATCAATATCAGTTAATATTTCAAGCACACTATCAAAAAATATTATCTTATTATCTAAATAATAGCTTATTATCTAAAACAGCGAATTCGAAAATGCAACAAAAATAACGGAATTCCACACATACCTCCCGTATAAGTGAACCAAATGCTCATATCATCATATCAACTATTCAATCACCATTCTATACCTCTCAATACCAGTTAATATTTTAGGCTTATTATCTAAAATAGCGAATTCGAAAATGCACAAATAACGAATTTCCACACACATCATATCAACTATTCAATCCCCATTCTATACCTCTCAATATCAATTAATATTTCAAACATTATCAAAAAATAGCGAATTCGAAAATGCAACAAAAATAACGGCATTCCACACATACCTCCCGTATAAGCGTCGCGCCAACGGACTGGAACGCACAAGATTCGGAGCTGAGAACCCAACCCAAGTCTGATTCTGGCTGCGTCATGTCTGCAATTTAACATTTATCTATTTAATATTGTGAAGTAATAAAGAATACATTAATAATAAAGAATACGTAATTAAATACATTATAAACGTGTATTTAATTGTGAGCTGAGAACCCAACCCAAGTCTGATTCTGGCTGGGTCATGTCTGCAATTTAACATTTATCTATTTAAATATATTTGAAAGAAATGAAGAATACATAATTAAATACATAAACGTGTACTTGACAAGTATAGATGGCTGGGTCATGTCTGCAATTAAATATTTATCTATTTAAATATATGTGAAAGAAATAAAGAATTCATAATTAAATACATTATAAACGTGTACTTGACATGTATAGCCTAATACTTTTATCTGAAAATCTTAGTCGAACCACAATCTAAATTAGGAGTTAAAACGTATTTGAAAATTAGGTCAGATAATCTAATCTTTTTTAATAATAATAATCTCTTTTAAAGGTAATTGAAAATTAGGTCAGGTAATCTTAGAATCTCGTCCTTTTACAGTCATTCCCCTTAGTTAGAGATATATGGATCATTCCCTTGTAAAATCAGCAGCAAAATTGAGATTTATTAACCATATGTGGTAGATTTAATTGAAATTTGGTTCATTTTCTGATACTCATACTTTCACAACTCTGCCAAATTTCGACCAAACATTCCCATGGGATTCCATTTTACGAGCCAGGGAATATTTGGCCCAAATCCTCTCATTTTCTAGGGTAAAACTAGTATGATTTTTGTGCGAGCTTGACTGTTACTTTAAAGGAGTAACATTTACGAAAATTAATACTCAGATATGTAGAATTTTAAAATATCAAAAATGACCTAAAGTGTACCCTTACTAAGCTTTGTTCAGCTAAACCACTTCCATTTTTTTGTTCTTTTTGCTCAAAGGTATACTGAATGTGGCTTTTCCCTCTGTAATAGCCCATATAAGACCATGCAACATTTAGTTATTTAAAGCTGATACGTTGATAAAATGGTGTAATTTTCACGATCAAGAAAGGTTGCTTCTTTAAAGTAACAGTTAAACTATCACAATAATTATACGCGTTTTACCCTCGAAAATTGGGAGATTTTGGCCAAATATTTCCTAGCCCATAAAATGCGACCCCATTGAAATATTCGGTCAAAATTTAGAAGAATTGATGAAAGTAGAAGTATCAGTCAGTGTACCAATTTTCAGCTGTTAATTTGTAATGGAATGATCCATATAGATATAAAAAAAAAATACACCATCAGAAGACGATATAACCAAAACGCATCTTCAAATACACCTACGCTTTAAATTCACTTATTGATTTGTAAAGGAATGACCTGTATAGATATAGTATCAAAAAATACACTATCACAAGACAATATACCCAAAAAACCCTCTTCAAATACACTTCCTACACCTTAAACTCACTCAAATCCAGACCTTCCTTCCTACAACAACCATAAGAACCTTCCCACTCCTTTACCTTTCTTATCAGACAGACTCACTATGCGGCCGATACACAGCGGCCTGTTGCCAAAGGGGTCCCTCACCCCGTACACCTTATCCTCGTGCATGAGGGCGAGGGAATAGGCCGTGGGCGTGGCTTCCATGAGGTGCCTTATCCGAGCCCCCAGTCCGGCCGTCCTTCTCTCCCGCGGGGTGGCGTCAGGGACAGCATCTGGGTGATCAGTTCCGAGTCGGATCTCGTCGAGAGCCCCACGCCCCGCTCGAGGACCTGGTGGTGAAGGAGGAAGAGGGAGAAGGGGGGGGTTAAGGGTGGATGTGGGAGGGTGGAGAAATGGGTGGGTGGGTGGGGGGGGGGTCTTTGTCCAGAAAATTGAAAATTGCCTGATAACTAACTTTTGTTTGAAGGTGAGCTTTGTTTGAAGGTGGAGAGATGTGGGACGGAGGAGATAAGGATGGGGGGTTTCTTTGTGTGGAAAACTGGCCTGAAAACTAAGCTTTGTTTGAAGGTGGATGTGGGAGGGAATGTGCCTGTTCTTTGTGTGGAAAATGGCCTCATTAAGGTTTGTTTGAAGGTGGATGGATGTGGGAGGGAGGAGAAATGAACACACACACACACACTTATAACTTACATAAAGTACTTCGATCGATCAGTCGCAAGATTTTTATATTCAAGCAACATCAACCTACATCACATAAAAGTAAAATCATCAATAACACTATAAATAACCTATTTATCTAAACTGCCTCAATGATAATGACAGTTCCCATTACTAATATGAAAAATGGCATTATTTCGAAAAGACAGCAATTGCAAATTTTCTTCCCTAGGTAAAAAAAAAAAAAAATAAAATAAAATAAATAAATAAAAAAAAAAAAAATAATAAAATAAAATAAATAAATAAAAAAAAAATAAAATAAAAAACCGAAATATCTAAAACGTACTAGGCCTATATACCTAAGCGCGGTGCCCGAATTTCTTATACCTGAACTACCAGCCTATAATAACCTCTACATTCTCATTACCCATAAAGTATAATGCCAATGGGAAAAATGACAAAAAAATGGGATAAACTAAAAGCCTAAATAATACCCACAGACCTTTAAAAGCCACCATGGTCCCATTTTAGGACTGCTTCCATATCCACAAGCGACCCACATGGAAGGAGCGAGATAAAACAACATTCCAACAAACCCGTTTCACTTCTCGATATCCAAATAGATATAGACGGAAGAGAAGCATTCTAATAAAGCATAAATATCTTTTTTTATTTTTTTATTCGATTTGGAAGAAAAGCATTCTAATAAAGCATAAATATCTTCTATTTTATTCGATTTGGCCGCAATTTTAGAGTTCGTAATGGACTGATGACTTCAAACGCGTGAAAAATTAATTAATAAGAAAACAGTAAACTGGTTTTGGGTTCGGTACGACTCGAAGTGGTTACGTTAAGGGTCTGCCATTAATATGCAGAGAGGAGAAAATTGCTTAAACCTGTTCCCGAGTTTTTTATTCAACTCCAAGAAAGAAAAAAAAATACCTCACGTGTTAAGTCACGTGGCGGTCACTCCAGCCAGTGGTCGTTGTCGTCACACAGCGATCAGGTGGTCAGTCACGGGCCAGTCAGAGGGCAGTCAGCGGTCAGTCACTCGCAACATGGATCGAGGTTCCAGCCAATCCCACAGCGATTTTTTCTCACTATCTTTCTACGATTTATTTACTTATTTATTTTTATCTCTCATGTTTTTTTTCAACGCGAAAAAGAGGAATATCAAAGCTTTATATAATTTCGGCTTTTAGAAGAAAAAAAACAACGGGTCATTCCAAAATATACAGTCCAGGCAACGAAAAATTTTCATTGAACAGCACATTCTCCTATCTATCTCCACCTCACAGCCTACCTCACATACACCAAACCCCTCCCTCCCCCCCACAACAATCTACAACCCCCCTAACCCAACGCAAAACCAGCAAAACCCTCCCTAAACTCGAGCTGCAGTAGTCCCAACTCCTCCTCAAACAGACACCTCAGTCTCCACCTGGAAATAAAAAAGGAGTCGTCGGACGGATCGAACTGTAGGGTACGCGATGACCTGTGGGAAGAAGGGCTGGCTCCTCGCTTGCGACTCGGAACGAAATGCCTCGGTTTTATATAAGTAGGTTTTTATATAGAGAGGTTTCGAAGATCTGTATCGGCCTTTCGTAGAACTGGGGGAGGGAGAAGGGAGGGAAGGAGGGAGAAGGGAGGGAGGAATGGGAGATGGACAGGGAAGGAGAGGGGGAGGGAGGAAGGAAGGGAGGGAGGGGGGGAGGGAGGGAGGGGGAGGGAGAAGTGGGAGAAGGAGAGGGAGGAGAGGAGAAGGGGGAGGAGGAAGAAAAAAGAAGAGAAAGATGAAGATGAAGGAGAGGGAGAGAGGAAGGAATTGATGGATGGATGGAGGAATGGAAGGAAAGGGAAGCTAAGGAGATTACGAAAGATATTGTGCATTAGGCAAGGAAAAAAAAATGTAGAAAATGAAGCCAAACCCTAAATAATTTTCCTCAAACTAGCCTAATTCAGCCACTCAACGAAATAGCCCCAAGTAGTTCCCAAAGAGCCCCAAATAATCCTGAACAGTCCCAAAATAGCCTAGTCCACCCCTAGTCCACTTTCTTGTCGTCGTAACGAGTTCCCCGTTACGAACAATGTCAAATAATTCCCAAATAGCTCCAAACAATCCCCAAACAAGACCCCAAATATCCCTAACAAGACCCCCAAAATCCCAAAGATCCAAATATCCCCCCCAAAGAAGACCCCAAATATCCCAAATATCCCTAAACAAGACCCCAACTATCCCAAACATCCCAAAATCCCCCCCTACCAGTCCTCAAACAAAACCCCAAATAGCCCCAAACAAGACGCCAAAATAATCCCAAACATCCCAAATAGACCCAAAATCCTCCCCCGCCCAACCAGTCCCCAAATCCTCCCCCCCCCCAACCATCCCAATACCCCCAAACAAGACCCTAAAATAGCCCCAACCAGCGTCCCCCGTCTCTTACCGTCTTCCTGAGCGCGACCCCATTAATGAGCTCCCCATTATGCGCGGTGGCAAAGGGGCCGTGTCGCGTGTGCACCATGAAGGGCTGGATGTTGCTGGGGTCACGACCTCCCATGGTGGCGTACCGGGTGTGCCCGATGCCCAGATGACCTGAAACGAGGATGTGGGGGTCGGGGTCAGGGGGTCAACTTCAATTTTCGGAGTGGGGGGGTATTTTTTTA